GTGTGTGTGTGTGTGTGTGTGTGTGTGTGTGTGTGTGTGTGTGTGTGAGCATGCATCTGGAAACTGGAGGTCGATCCTTTCCGAAGTGTTTCTCAGTCACTATCTACCTTATCGGTGTGACTCTATGATGTGGGGAGGGTATTGTGTCATGACATACATGCAGGAGTCATGACATACAAGTTTATGGAGTCAAGGCTTTTCTTCCACAATTACATGGACACAGGGGGATCAAACTTAAGTCCTCAGGCTTATACAGCAAGTACTTTTCCCCTTTAAGCCTTCTTGCCAGCCCCACATTATCTTTAGAGTCAGGCTCTCCCTACATCCAGTACTCACCAATTTCCTAGACTGGCTAGCCAACAATCTTGAGATCTGCCTGTCTCAGTCCGTGTTGTACCCAGCTTTTTATTGTTGCTGTTTATATAAATAGGTAATAGAGATCTAAACTCAGGTCTCCAGGATGTTCAGCGTGCACTTTACTGACTTGAACGATCTCTCAGCTTCACAGTAAAGCTGGTATGGGAAAAGATAGAGTAATACAATCTCTAGCTTGTGGAAGACAGAAATGATTTCTGAAATAAAAATGAAAACAACACTGGAGAAGAGGGAGGCCAAGGCTACAGATTTCCATGTTAGCTGACAGTTATCTCCAAGGGTTAATCTCTCATTTGCTCGATGGGCATTTCTCTCTGCTTGCTCCAGAAAGCACCAGACCTTTAGAACTTGAGGCCACCCAGTGGGCACCAGGTACCTATGAGGCCTCCAAGAACAGTTCTGTGTCCCTCCCCGATGCCCACGTGTTCATTTTTGCCTGTCTCCAAGATCCAACAGGGGACCAGCCATTGGTTCTCAGGGCTTTAAAGGCAGAACAGATATTTACTTCTTAACTCTATGGAAATGGTGTGTTTCTTCCTCCTTCCAAAGCTTTCTCCCAGATGATGCCAGCATCTGCTATGGCAGTGCCTTGTCACAAGAATTTTTAGACATGAGCCACTGTGTGCTGCATGAGCTTTCTTTTTTTAAAAAAAAAAATATTTTATTTATTATGTATACAGCATTCTGTTTACATGTACATCTGCAGGGCAGAAGAGGGCACCAGATCTTATAGTAGATGGTTATGAGCCACCATGTGGTTGCTGGGAACTGAACTCAGGACCTCTGGAAGTACAGACAGTAGTCTTAACCTTTGAGCCATCTCTCCAGCCCCCGAGCTTTCTTTCATGTATGTTCTGCTATACTGTTCCAAACACTTTGGTTCAGGATAAAGGGGTCTCCAGTCCCAGAAGTGCTTGCGTTTATGTGTTAGAAAGGAAGGCATTTAAAGCCAATCACTGCCTACCAGAGCCAAATTGACCATATTTTAAAAAAAAACAATGTGAAACCAAAACAGTGTCTCTCATTGTCCCTCACATACCCTCAGACTGTTTCTTCAACAAGAAAAGTTACATTGTATGTGTTTGTGTGTACACGGCTATGTGAGTGCACGTGTGTGCATGTCTGTATAACTTCCATGTAATGGTTGTGTTATTTGTAGAGAACAATTGAAAGAACAGAAAATCATAAATAATAAAATAACACTTAGATGCTTGGTAGCATTAACTACTTAAGTACCAGCCCAATGTATTTTTCTTTAGGACTGATTTTAGATTATTTTAACTTATAATTTATCTGAAAAAAATGGGATTTCCGTATAATAAATCTGTACCTCAGAGAACTCATACTACCACCACGAAAGTCAAAATCACAGTAATTCCTGGAGAGACCGACAGTCGGATGTGGATGACACTGAGCGCTCAGTGTCACAGAATCAACATAGAGTCTCAGAATTATCAATTACAGAAGTGACAGGATAAGTGCCAACAAGGGAAGCAGAAATCACTTCCTTTTTGTGTATATGTGTGTGCATGTTTGTGTCTGTGTGTGGATGATAAGGCTACTTCAACTGTCATCCCTCAGTTACTTCAGTGCTTTTTAGAGACAGGGTCTCTCGCTGACCTGGAAAGCAACAGCTTTGCTAGAACGTTAAATTAATGCCTAGTGAGCCCCATCCCCACCCCCAGGAATACACCTATCTCTGCCTCTCCAGCCCGAAGGCTGTAAACACCGCCATCATGCCTGGCCTCTCTTAGCGCGATACCTAACTCAGGTCCACATGCTAAAAGTCAAGCACTTGACTGAGCTATCTCCCCAGCCCATTTTTCTTTTTTAATGTAGAGCACACTGAATAAGGCCAAGAGGAAAGCTCTTGACTGGCCTGCACCATAATTCATTATGCTTAATTAAAACTGTATAATTGAAGATAACTTTGATATTCAAATACCTTTTCAAAGGTGACATTTGGCAAAGACCAGCTTAGTTTTCTCTGCAAACTCTTAAGTGTGTCCATTACAGATTAGTCCACATAGACGGACCTTGCTTCCCACAGCACTGTGTTAACTGAAATTCAGTCCGGTAGGAGCACAACCACACCACTGTGCGCGCAGTTTGCTCTACTGAGGTCGGAGCTAATGTTTTGTTCAGCATGACACCGTGGGTATGCTTCACTTGGTCCTGACAGTGGCCCAAGGTTTGGTTCAGCAACATGGGAATATGAAAATGAGAATAGACTGTGAGTATCGCTTGATGAGGCGAGGTTGAGGGTGGTTGTCAGCGTTCACAAGTGTGTCCGAATCCTTGTTTGTGTCCCGTTAACTCTCTCACTGCTCCGTTCCACCAGGGCCTGAGCCACCTGCACCAGCACAAGGTGATTCATCGAGATATTAAGGGGCAGAACGTCTTGCTGACTGAAAACGCTGAAGTGAAGCTAGGTATGAGCCACAGCCCCTGAGCCATGGATGTGAGCAGTCCTTTTACAACGTTCATTAAATCTGTCATGGTGGATGAGGGGCCGTTTCCCCAGACGTGAAAGGAAAGTGTTGTCTTTCTCTACTTGAAAGGTTTTTTTCCCAAGTCATCCTGAAGAATGACCTGTGTGGGGATTAGAAGCCTACACTTGAGCACACTGTAGATTTTTTTTCCACTATAATGATTAGAAGTCGCAGGCCTTGACATCACCTCGTGCTCATCAGGACTGTTTGCATCACTTCCGATACGATGGGGTACCGACGGCCCAAGTGTATGGGTTTCATCTTGTGATTCATCAAATATTTACATTTGAAAGTATTTCGAATAATGAAGTCCTGCTAACTTCCCAGAGGCTTGAGTTACACTTCAGTTTACTGTGTCATACTTAGTTAAAATTACTGAGTTATATTTAAATTTCCCCTGGCTCCTGTACAAAGGAGATTCTCAATAGTCCATTTCAGGTGCACCCTGATCGCCCCACTTCGTCCCACAGAATTGGTGGTGAGAAAATCCTTTTCTTTGGCAAATCCATCAGAGCCTGTTCTAGTTGCTTCTGTTACTGTATCCTGACCAAAAAAAAAAAAAAAAAAATTGTTTTTTTTAAAAAGCAACTCACAGGAGGAAGGGTCTGCCTTAGCTCACATTTCCAGATCACAGTTCACTGAGAGAAAGTTCAGGCAGCAAGAACTTGACACATTGAGTCACATTCATAGCTTGGAACAGAGAGAGTGAATGCACATGTCCTTATTTTCCCCACTTTGAGACAGCTCAGGACCCAGATCCAGAGAATGATCTCTGGATGAATGAAGCCACTCACAATGAACCGGGTCTTCCATCCAGACAAACTCTTTCCAATGTGATTCTAGACTGAGCCAGGTTGAGAGTTAAAACTATTATAGAGCCCTTTCACAGAAAACCTGGGAATGCTCTCATTTTATTATCAAGAAAGGATCTGCTGTCAATAGGATTGTGTATTTTCAGAGAGATTTGAACATTTGCCCTTCCCTTTTTTTAAGATATATAATTTCACTGGGTATTGTGGTACGCTCCTTTAGTCCTGGCATTTGAATGGGCAGAGGCAGGCATATCTCTGTGAGTTTGAGGCAAGCTTGATATACAAAGCAAGTTCATGGCAGCCAAGGCTACATAGAGAAATCCTGTCTTAAACAAACAAATATATACATATACATATACATATGCACATACATATACATATACATATAGTCTCATTCTGTTAGCATCTTGGAGCCAAGTGTTCATCACATGAATATTTCCTTTTAAAAATAAGAGCATACATTGTGAAGGCTAAATAGATGCATGTATAAAGACTTGATGGTCTAGCTTCAGAGGACTTCCTGATGCTGTTTAACAAGCACTTGTTAGGAGTATAATGTATGCCACCTCTCTCAAGAGACACTTAGGTATTCTCATGCAAGCATAGTCTTATCTTTTATCAAACCCCTACTTTGCTGGTCTCAATGGAGCCTTGGGATAATCAAATTCAGCAATTTGTGATTTACTCACTGGTGTATCTACTTAATCATGCAATTTAAAAGTATGTATTCATGGTAGAGAAATGGTAGAAGGGACCAGAATGCCATCACTAGAAGAAAAGATAAAGTGTAGAAATGGAAATTTAATGGAAAAATTTTCAGCAGTTAAAAGGAAGAAAACTGTAATATACGTTTCAAGCCGAGTGAACTTTGAGGATGTTGTGTTACATGAAATAAGATGCATTTTGTGTGATTCTGCTCATATATAGGAGTATTCAGTGTCCAGATACAGGGGCAGGAGGATGAGTGGGTAAAGTGTGAGACATAGGTTGTTTTTGCTCAGTGGTATAGCATCTCACTGGTGGAAGATGAAAATGTTCTGGGGATGGATGGCGGTGATGATGATACAATCTTAAGGGCTTTACTGGCACAGAAAATGTGCATAAATCGTGGTTAAAATCTATCCTAATTAAATTTCTATTGCTGTAATAAGACACCATGACCAAAAGGAACTTAGGTTAAAGAAAGGGTTTATTTCATCTTACAACTCTCAGGTCACACTCCCTTAATTGAGCGAAGGCAGGACAAGAACTCAAGGCAAGAACCTGGAAGAAGCAGAATCCATGGAGGAGTGCTGCTTACTGGCTCACTCTATGCTATGCTTAGTTTGCTTTAGTATCCTTCCCATGATCACCTGCCCAGGAGATGGTTCCACCCACAATGGTATAGGTCCATCTAAGAAGAAAATGCCCTACAGACTTGTCTACAGGCGATCTAATAAAAATGTGTTCTTTTTTAATTTATTTATTTATTCACTTTATATCCCAATCTTAGACTCCTCCCTCCTCTCTTCCCAGTAGCGCCCTTCCTCCATCTTCCTCATCCTCCTCCCCTCTCCACCCACCCCAGCTCATCAAATCATATCAGGACTGAGCTCATCCTCTTCCTCTGTAGTCTGGTGAGGCAGTCCCACCAGGGCGAAGTAATCAAAAAGCAAGCAACAAGCAGGAGGAAGTCATCAAAAAGCAGGCAACAGAGTCCATGTCTGAGACAGCCCTCACTCCTCTTACTAGGGAACCCACATGAAGCCTGGGCTGCCCATTGGCTACATCCGTGGGGGGGGGAACCTAGGTCCAGTCCATACATGGTCCTTGGCTGGGCGATTCAGTCTCTACAAAGTCTTCTGAGCCCTGGTTAGTTGGTTCTGTTGGTCTTCCTGTAGAGCTCCTGTCACCTAGGTTTTTCTCTCCTTCCCCCACCTTTTCCACAAGACTCATTACACTTTGCCCAATGTTTTGCTGTGAGTCTAGGCTTCTGTGTCTATCTGCTGCTGGGTGGAGCCTCTCAGAGGACAGCTATGCTAGGTTCCTGTCTCTGAACATAGCAGAGCATCGTTAATAGTGTCAGGGGTTGGCTCTCTCCTATGGGGTGGGTCTCAGGTTGGTCTGGGCATTGGTTGGACATTCCCTCAATCTCTGACCTGAGAAGAGTGCAGGAGGCTGGGGGGCTTGAGGGGGGGGCCACGATAGAGGGCCTGCAGAGAGAAGAGAAACTGTAGGCAGGGGCATCTCTGTGACAAGCTGGAGACCTAAGACAGGTAGGCTTCTGGGAGGATATGAGGGTGACTCTAGCTGAGACTCCTAGTAGCACGATTCATGGAGACTGAAGAGGATACCCTCTAACTAGACAGGATACTAGTGGAGGAAAGAGGAACCCCAGCCCACCCACCAAAACCCCTACCCAGGCTGGCCTCAAACCCATAGAGATCACACTGCCTCTGCCTCCCTGAGCTAGGATAACAGGCGTGCGCCACTGCGCTTGGCTCACGTGTCCTTTCTTTTTAATTTATTTTTTTATTTATTACAAGTTATTCACTTTGTATCCCAGCTGTAGCCCCTTTCCTCGTGCCCTTCTAATCCCGCTCTCTACCCCCCTTCTCCTCCCATGTCCTTCTCCTAGTCCACTGATAGGGGAGGGCCTTCTCCCCTTCCTTCTGACCCTAGCCTATCAGGTCTCATCAGGACTAGCTGCATTGTCTTCCTCAGGGGCCTGGATAGGCTGCTGCCCTCATCCATTGGGGGGAGTGATCAAAGAGCCAGCCACTGAGTTCATGTCAGAGACAGTCCCTGTTCCCTTTAGTAGGGAACCCACTTGGAGACTGAGCTGCCATGGGCTACATCTGTGCAGGGGTTCTGGGTTATCCATGAATGATCCTTGGTTGGAGTATTAGTCTCAAGAAAGACCCCTACTCCTCTTCAGTATCACTGGTTGACAAATCTCAAGGTTATGGTTTAAGTAATATTTGATGTGATGTGGTAAATAGGGCCTATATTATACCTATGCAATTTTTCCATATCAGGACTCAGACAGTCATAAACCACATGGAACCAAATGGATACCACTAACCCCAATACTACTAAAATCAGGTAGTTCTGTGGACATGGGCATTTCCTGTCATATATCTAGCCTGTTTAGGATGAGTTTCATGCCTCTGCCTCTGGCTCAGTTTCAAGATTTGTATCTTTATAGTCCATGTTCTCTAGCTCAGATGCTACACTTCAGTGTCCTCAGATGCTGGATGTTAGCCAGTGCATCCTGATTATATCCCACTAGAGTCACCAAAAGCTCTAAAGTCAGATACTCTCTTCCCCATATGCACTGCATAGCTCTCCTTAGTGATCTCACTGTCCTATTATTAAGCTAGAAGAGGGAAATAGAAAGATCTGGAGAGGACAGGAACTCTACAAGGAGAACAACAGAGCCAAAATACCTGGGCCCAGGGGGGGGCCTGCATGGACCAAACATGGAGAGGACCTAGACTCCTTGTTCAAAGGAAGCCCATAGGCTGCTCAGTGTCCAAATGGGATCCCTAGTAAGAGGTACAGGGGCTGTCCCTGACATGAACGCAGTGGCTGTCTCTCTGATCACCTCCCCCTGGCCGGTGCAGCCTTGCTAGGCCACAGAGGAAGATGATGCAGCCAGTATTGATGAGACCTGATAGGCTAGGGTCAGATAGAAGGGGAGGAGGTCCTCCCCATCAGGGTACTAGGGAAAGGGCATAGGAGGAAAAGACGGAGCATGGGTGGGACTGGGAGGAGATGAGGGAGGGGGCTTCAGAAGGGATACAAAGTGAATAAATTGTAATTAATTAATTTTTCAAAAAATCTCAACCCAAAATTTACCCCGCCTGCATGATGTGCAGGACAAATGTAGAACAGAGATTGAGGGAATGTCCAAAAAAGTGGAGGTGTTTTCTCAACTGAGGTTCCTCTTTATCTATTGTGTCTTGCTGGCAAAATAAATTAGGATAAAATTATAACTTCTATGTTAAATATCTGTTTTACCACATGAGGTAATTTTAGCCTCACAACCAACGTTAGGCTTTAACTGATTCGTTTGTCCTCTCCTCATTAGTGGACTTTGGAGTGAGTGCCCAGCTTGACCGAACAGTGGGCAGGAGGAACACATTCATTGGGACCCCCTATTGGATGGCACCAGAAGTCATTGCCTGTGACGAGAACCCAGACGCTACCTATGATTTCAAGGTATGACTTCTTAGTTGTTCTGTGAAAGCCAGGTCTGGCCTCTTTCCCTCAGTTCTGCAAAGAAGAATTCTCACAGACATTTATGTGTGTTATTTTTGTGACACAAAAGGGGACCTGAAGAGCATCACTTGGGTCTAGGATTGTAAGACACTCAAGTAAGAATTGTCTTAATGAATTCACTCATCACATTTGATTGCCCATTTGCAAAATAATATTGAAATTATTTCCTGTGCTTTGGAATGTTTTTGAATGTACTCTTCCGTCTTATTCTTTTGTTAGTTTGTTTGTTTTGTTTTTTGAGACAGGGTTCTTGTTCCTGGACTTGCTTTGTAGACTAGGATGGACTCAAATTCAGAGATCTGCTTGCCTCTGCCTCTGCCTCCTAAAGTGCTGGGATTACAGGCGTGGGCCAATGTGTCCAGCCTGTCTTATTTTTGAGAAATGGATTAGGTTAATGTTTTTTATTATAGTTTAGTTTTAGCAAAGTATATATTCTTATTTTTACCCTTTTTCGTCTACTAAGTATTTTTTTTACTGACATAAAAATATTCCAACTGTACATATTGAAGAAGTTTCATGAACTACTTTGATATATGCACACATATACAGTATTTAAATTGGGATAAATATATTGATCTGTTAAAGTATCACATTTTTAAGGTAAAAAAAGTTTCAGCGAGCCGGAAGTGATAGCTAAGTTGGTAAAGTTCCCGCCTGATGAGGGTCAGGACCCGAGTCAGTCTTCCAGAAGCCACATAAGAAGCCAGCCATGGTGTTGCAGCCTGGTGATGCCAGCTCTGGACAGCTGGCCTAGCTTCCCTGGCAAATTCCAAGCCACTGACTGACCCAGTCTCAAAACTCCAGGCTCCTGAGAAATAACAGGCAAGACTGACCTCTGCCCTCCCCATGTAGCTGCAAGCATACACCCACGTGGTCACTCACAAAAGCTTGAACATCATTCCTTCTAGCTTTGTGAAGTGGGCAACACACTGTTGTGAACATACTTGGCTACTGCGCAGTAGCACACAGGAGCTCCTGGCCCTTATGCAGCCAGGACACAGCACACACTGATCAACCTGTTTCTTCTACCTCCTGAGTTAATACTCTCTAATAGTCTCATGATATTCTTATGTCAAACCAAAATATAAATATCGGGGAATTCTTTTTATAGTGACAAGGGATCAGCCTCATTTCCACTGGGCTCCCTGTAGCCACTTTGAGGTTTTCTCTCTGAGAAGGATGAAGTTGGATGTAGGGATATGGCTTGGCCTTCTCCTAGTGTGACATGGCAGCTCACAGAAGTTCGGTGTATCCCTTGTCACTTTTACTTGAAGTGCACAACTGAGTTCAAACTGTAGGCTTCTCCTGGCAGTCCTCCCATTATTCAGTCCCTCTAGCCAGTGCTTTAACATGAGTCACAGAGCCCCTCGAGAGCTACAGTGTCTAACGGCAATGCTTTTGCATAACTCCCTGTTGAGAGAAAATAAAGCTGTGGACAGTGAGAGCTAGAGTGCAGAGTGCTCAGGCTACACACTGAGAGACACCGTGTGGGCAAAAGGAGATACTACCTGGGTTTGGTTTGGAACTTCAGGGACTCAAAATTCCACAAAGGGTGTTTGAGGCCAGGTTTTCACAGTTGATGATATTCTCTGAACTTTAACTTGAACGTGCCTCTCCCCACTCCATTCACAACTCTATAATCACTTTTCCCACCCTGTGAAGAAGAGCCTCGTGTGGATTTCTTGTGTCATTTTGCATACAGTTTGGTTATTATTTGATTTGTCTGGTTTGCCTTATAAAATGGCTATGTTAAAAAAAAATGAAAGTAACTAAGAGTCCGAAGTGCCTCTCTAGGAAAAGAATCTACAGGGCTCTTTTTTATTATAGTCTGGTCTTATGCAGTGTTTGCCTGACTTCTATATAAATCTCGTATTTCCCAAACAGAGAGTATATTTGAGGAATTTCTCTTTTAAAGTCCACTTACTACTTCTCCACATCTAGTTACTGTTGAAATCAGGTGATAGCGATAGGAACACTGCAGTCTTTGAGACCCAGTGTCTCAGAGCGCTGATGAAATTAGTCACCTCTTTTGGGAAATGTAGGCTTGACGGTCTTGAAAACATAATAACCACTCCTTCCTTCAAAGTTAGTCCCTCTAATGACCTGACAGCAATCTGTCTAAGAGCAGCTGCTATGTTAAAAATTAATCCCCTGCCAAAATAAATGTCATTTATTTAAACTGCTAATGATCAGCACATTTAAATAATTCCATTTGCAAATCCACCAGAGGATCCGCTACAAAATATATATCCCAGACAAGATATGCATATTTTAATTGGCTGTAAGCAACTCTTCAAACTGTAGTTGTATTTAACAAGTGATAACTAGTCTACATCTATGCCATAGATAATTTGAACCACTTCAAAATATACGAGGAGGGAGCTGGAGGGGTGGCTCAGGGGTTAAGAGCACTTGTTACTTTTATAGAGGACCTAAGGGTTCAAATTCCAGCACCCACATGATGGATCACAACCATTTCTAACTCAAGTTCCAAGGGATCCAGTGTCCTTTTCTGACCTCCAAGGGCACCATGCACATGAGTGGTGGTGCCCAGACATGACGTGCAGCAAAATACCCATACACATCAAATAAATAAATCTAAATTTTAAAATAAGGCAACTGATGGCAGGAAGGAGCAGAGTGTCTAGATTTCCATCCCTGTCTTAATCTTTTAAGTATCATGATGGCTGTATTTATGTGCAGTGTGTGTGTGTTCTGTAGAATAGACAAGACTTTTGTGGCTGACTTGTTTCCAGGAAAGTAACCAGAATAACATTTCCTTTCGACCAACCCAAAGCTTGGAATTGAGTTCAAATCTTGGGCTTCTTTTTCCAGACTATTGCTAATAATTACTATTTAGAAATGATGTGGTACTAATGCATAGAGAATATTTTTAAGAGAATTTGTATTTAAAAAAAAAAATCCTCACAGAGAAAACAGGCTCAACTGTGTCAGTCTTTTAACGTATAGTGTGAACTTGTTTATCAAGATAGTCAACGCATGTAAGTTGTTCACAAGGAAGAAAACTCCATGCCTAGGCTGTGAACTTCGCTGTTCACCTATCATGGGGAAAAGCAGCTTGTCCAAAGTGTGGATGAAAAGGGTGAAGCAGAACAGAAGGCTGCACAGAACATTTATTTTGACCGCTTCATGATTTTACTCTGAACCAAAGAAGATGGTCATCTTTAAAACCTCTCGGTTATTGCATCTTAACCTTGTTTTCAGCTCAGTGTGCCCAGGAATGTGGTCTGTCGTCAGGGGACTGCTTGACAGCAAGTTGACTTGAAGCTCTCTATTCGGCCACTCTGTGTAGTTACTCAATCTCCACTGTGTGTGTGTGGGGGGGGGGGGGGTTTAGCTGAGATCTCTCTGCGTAAACCATTTCCTAGTGGAGCATTCACTGGAGACCTATAAAGCTGAAGGATTTGGTCTGTGTAGGGGACAGCCCATTTGAGCCAACAGGAGTCACAGCCTGAGCAATGACCTGAACCTGTTGGGCTTTCACAGAGATTAAATGTATGCTCCCACCATTTCCAGATGGTTTTGATTGGATAAAACATACTTTGAATAGTATTGGATTCTGTAAACTTCACCAAGAAATCGCTGGCTTTGAAGTGAAGATGAACTGCAGAAGACCATAATTTGGTTTTGTTATGTGATTTATCATTTTTCATTTATTGATTGACTACTATTTGATTTATTTCTGAGATGCTTTTAAAGACTGGTAGAAGTTTCTTTTTTCCAATTCCCTTTAAAATTTTTTTCTTTTTGATGCTGTGTGTGCAGATCTGTGTGTGGGTACGTGCACATGATTGCAGAGGCTTTGGGAGGCCAGAAAAGTGTATCAGATCTTTCTGAGCTAGAGCTATAGGTGGCTGTGAGCTACCTAGTGTGGATGCTAGGAACTGAATTTAGGGTCTCTACAAGAGCAATGCATACTCATAATGACTGAGCCATCTCTCCAGTCCCAGAAGTTTCTTTTGAAAGTGAAAGTAGTTGACTATCCTAAGGACCTCTGTGGGAAAGGACTCTGAAGAGATGCAGTTTTCACTGCAGTCTGCTTTTGTGTGGAGTCTGCTGGGTGCAGGGGAAACTCTCTGACTGCCTGGGAGGAAGCCTGCATTGCGTTTGCCTGGTGTGCTGGCTTTCCCCTGGGAGCCCTTCCTTTATTTTTTTCAGAAATTCTGTCAAAACACTTCAAGCAAAAGGAAAGGTTTCATTTCCCTGATAAGTATGCAGGGCAATAATGAAAGCCTTCCTATTTAATAATAAGCATTCAAAAGATTTGAAATTAATAAAACTGTTCAAAATTCCTAGGCTGTTTAAGATGGCATTTTTAAAACTTACTGTGAATTGTATTTCAGTAGGATAAACTCTGACAGGTATTTTGTAGTCCTAAGCATTTCCTTAACAGAGATACCCACTAAAGAAAGGCCACATATATTGGGATCTGGTTGAAAAAAGACCAAATTCTCTATCCAGTGGACTACTATGCAGACTTAAGTAATGAGGCATAAAGTAGCATGTGTATTTGGTACCCAAATGTGAATACCAAAGTATATTTCTCTTAATATAGTCTTACTCCCTCTCAGCTGATATGGAAACACACACACACGTACTTGCACAGCACATACATGCACACACACACACATACATGCACACACACACTTGCACAGACACAGTGGTGGTGGTGGACAATTTGCAAATAGCCTGGAAAGCGTTGGTGTGCTTGGCCTCTGAGAACTTGGATGACAGATTCTTAGGTCTTTTTTTTTTTTTTTTTCTGTCCCGCTTTGTTGTTTTTGTATCAATAGACATTGCTCGTATAATTAAGCTAGTGAGGTAATAGAAGTCCAAGAAAATTTCTCGTCGCCCACACCCCATGTCTAGTGTGTTCTGGCCTTCGAGCGTGACCTTTGCTGACACACTGTGTCATTCAC